AGTACGCACCACGTATGCAATTATGTAACGTTTGGGACGACGTGCATATAACGTGCGCAATCCACTGGACGACATAGATTCCGAGGGAGGCAAAAAATGGGTCAATCAAGGAAGGAGTGAGAAAGAAGTGGGGAAGGAAGGAAGAAGGAGAGGTACTAAGATCAGGAAGACAGAAAGATGGATACAAGGGGAGGGATCGTGGATGAGGCGCGAGGAAGAAGGCTTCAAGATGGGAGAGAAGAATTGAAGAACGATAGTTATAGTAAAAGGCAGAGCTGCAGTGGAAAGGAAAGGGGAAGGAGGGGATAGGAGGGGAGGCAGAACGCAGTGAGAAGGAGAGGAAGGAGTTAGGTAAGAAGCAGCAACGGATAAAAGCTAGGAAGTTTACATAGGTATCTGACCAGCATCCCCAGCTTTAGTATGCCTGCGGGACAGCGGACTCACAGGCACTTGGGAAAGAGTCAGTAAAAATTGAAAATAATATGAACGCACATTCACAAATACTACCCCTCAATTACACTTCCACTGTTGCGTCACTGTATATCAACTTGCTTTCACAAAAACTAATGCAGAACTAGCCGCCTCCGCACTTGCCGCTTCGAGTGTGCTGTGTCGCCATTGTAATGATATCAGGAGTAAGATAATATATGATCTTATTCTTATATTATCTTATAGGATCCTATATTATCTTACTCCTGATGATATATATATATATATATAGCCTATATACAAAACCAGAGAGACATGATACAAGATTGCGTGGCACAGCTTTGCTGTTGATCCTGAACGCTGCGCGAGGATGAGACGCGCAGTTCCGCGGGATTGTACGATATTAATAGATATTTGTACTGCATTTATTATTCTGTGTAATGCCCGTTTCGGGCTCTCTCTAGGCGTATATATATATATATATTTGTGAATGTGCGTTCATATTATTTTCAGTTTTTACTGACTCTCTCCCGAGTGCCTGTGAGCTGACTTTCCGAATCATTATTCCGACCCATCGGTCGCAATTGCAGATGCAATGTTGGCATACTACGTTATATACGAGCTTCCTCCGTACATATAGCGTAGTACATCCAGCGACACCTCGTCCCTCCTCCTTGGTCTCTTCGTCTCGGCGTCTTTAGAGAGAGAGAGAGGTTTAGAAAACCTCCCTGAACCTGTCCACAGATGAGCGCCGAGACCTACCCTCTCCACGGGCCCTGCATCACTACCCCTCATGCTATATATGTGTACTCGTGCACCGCGCGTGAGCGTGATATATGTCAACTTGGCGTCATTAATTGTAACGAATTGGGTTAATTAAGTTTGCGGCGACGCACGGCCTGCGGGGCCGAATCGCAGACGATATAGATCCGATTGTTCCGTCTTCGTCTTCGGTTTATGGCAAGAATGTAGGTGCGCAAACCACCCCACACCCGCCCCCTCCCGCGCTCACACACATGCATGCACGCACGCACACACACGGTGGAACAATCACGCTAGGACGGGCATGTGGGAAGAAGGCCGTGAATGTAGACTGCAGGCGTGTTGGCGAGGGGTCCCCTATGGTATCCCCCCACCCAAAGAACTAATGTTGTAATGCAATGCAGTAGGTGAGGTGTGGTTGATTGCAGTTGAACTGGTGGCTTCCGATGAAACATTTTCTTTCGATCTACCTTTATTCTATTTCCACTGAGATAAAACCTTTGCAACGCATTATTTAATTGAAGTGTTCAGTCCCACCAGAAGAAGTGTTAGTGAGGGTCTGAAGTTCAGAGTCCACTGAAACACCCTCGCAAGGGTGCCAGACAACTCACTTGCCACACCGCAAGAATTTCACGAATTTACACGACTTCCGTGAAAAGCCAACAACAACAGTCACAAACCGCGACAAAAAAAACTATGCTTGTCAATTTTATTGTATTTCTGCTTTATATACGAATACCACAAAATCGATACGGACGTGGAATATGGCTTGCCCCGGGAAGGCACGCCTCTAACATACGTGATACAAGAATGGGTGTGGGTGAACCGGTGTGTTTGCATGTCGTGTACTCTTCTGCTACTGTTATATTCACTAAACGTGTCGTGCGACGGACGACGCAGACCGAGTCTTTTCGCATGTGGGGGCGCTGCCAACGCTAGCGATGCGGGTGAAGGTCTCTGTGTTCTCGTTGTTCGAGCCGGCGCGTTCCGGGCCTTCGCCGCAGGTTCTTCGAGGTTCGCCCGAGAGCACATCGACAGCATTAGCGGGGGAGGAGGAAAGGAACCCACCTCCCAGCCCGGCAATCGGACGCACCGGATTGTTATATCTTTGCGCTCCCACCCACCCCCAGCGATGCGCCATCGTCATGCAGCCCAGGAAGGGGGCGCCGCCTATCGTGGACGATCAAGCGAGCGCCAAATTTGCCCGCCAGAAGAGGTCCCTGAAAAATCTCATCACAGACGGTGGTTTTAGGTCGTGGGCAGTCTGTCAGTCAATCAGTCACATGTGATAAAAATGCAGGCATGTTTATGTGTTTTTTTTTCTCTTCATCTTTACTATTTAACGTTGTGCAAAATGTATTTCTTCCACGACTACATACACGTAACGTCACCGGAACACACACACGGGGTCTGGAGGAGTGCGATTCAACAAAAACACAAGGAAACGCTCTTAGCTTTCTCTCTCTCTCTCTCTCTCTCTCTTGCTCGCTCGCTCGCCTCGGTAATAACAAATTAACGAAACACCTCAGGGGGAGTCCGGCATTACAAATCACAAGTGTCGAGTCATCCGAGAATATGTACAGACAGTTCAGCTGCGCCGACATAGAAAATGGACCGCGGCAGTCTTCGATGACGTCGTCGCCGCGGCGACGCCGCCTTCATCTGGACGAGCCCGAAGAGGAGCGGGCGCGTGACGATGCGCGCTGCAGCTTCCGCTCGTACTGGATCATCGACTGCGCGTACTCCTCGAGCAGCTCGCGCACGCGCCGCCGCTTGTAGCGCATCGCCTCGTCGATGACGGCGCGCACGAACGCGAGCCGCGTGTGCAGGTCGCCGCGCATCTTGTTCAGCTCGTCGAACAGCTGGTCGTGGTTGCGGCCGGGCCGCCGCAGCTCGCGGAACACGACGCGCCGCAGCCGCCGGTTCTCGGCCGCCGCCGCCGCCGCCCCGGCTCGCACGTTGTTCTTCGTCGTCGGCGTCGTCGTCGTCGTCGCTCCGTCGACCGCCGCGTCTTCGCCGTTCGTCGTGCCGTCCGCGTAGAGGGCGCCGTCGTCCTCTTCCGTGTCGTCGTCGTCGTCGTCGTCGAACACCTCGTTGCGACCGACGTCGTTCGCGCTTCCTCCGCCGGCGAAGTCCATCACGAGCTCCTCCTCGGCCGCCGCCTCCGTCGCCACGGCGACCGCGCTCGCCTCCGGCGCGACCTCGTCCTCGCCCTCCTCTTCCGTCGTCGTGCTGGCCATGTCGAAGTCGCTGTCGTCGGCGGCGACGCGCGCGGGCATCGGCGATGGGCAGCGGCGGTAGGGCACGTCCGGCGACAGCGGGCCGGGCTTACGGCGCCAGGGGCCGCCGGGAAAGACGGCCGGCGACTCGGCGCGCGGTTTTCGGTCCTTCGGCATGCCAGGCAGGTCGAGGTCGGCCTCGTCAACCATCATCGCCTTGTTGACTTTGAACGGGTTGCCGAACATGTGCGTGCGCACGGGCACCGCCTCGACCTCGCGCAGCGGCGCGGGCATGTGCTTGAGGTAGTCCTGGTAGTTGCCCATCGCGCCGACGGGTATCGAGTGCCGCTGGTCGTCATCGTCGAGGCGCGGCCGCGTGAGCGCCCCCTGCAGGAGGTTGCCGCGCATGCGCGCGATCTGGTCGGGCAGGTCGGCGCGCGCAATGTCGAACGGGTTGCGGTAGCAATGCGCGGCCGCCGCCGCAGCGCCGCCGTCCGCCGGCCGCAGCACGACGGTGGCGCCCCCGCCCGCGTCGTCGCGCTCGTCCGCGAGCTGCAGCGCGTCGTGCAGTTCCCGCCGCCGCAGAGGCAGCGACCCCTGGAGGCGGGCGGTGACGCGGACGCCGTCGGGCGGCGGCGGCCGCTGCCCGACCGACGCGACGAGCCGGTCGAACTCCAGCTTCGCCTGCGACTTGACCTTCTTCAGGTAGTAGAGCACGCTGTAGCTGAGGCAGTTCTCGAGGTTGTCCGGCACGAGGCTCTGCGGGATCGGCATGCGGTGCAGCGCGCGCCGCAGCGGGCCCGCGTAGTACACCGGCATCGTCTTCAGGTAGTTGTCGAAGGCGAGGCGCCACTTGGGCGGCGGGCGCGCCTTGTGCACGCGGAAGAGCTCGTCGAGCAGCGGCAGCAGCACGGGGTAGTTGTACGGCATCACGAAGAGGTTGACGCACGCGAGCGCCGAGCTCGCCTTCAGGTAGCCGAACGGGTGGCTGGCGTCGCTGTGCTTGGCGCTGTTCTGCACGAACACCTGCCAGGCGACGTGCGGCTGCTTGCGCTCGAGGATGAACTGCGTCAGCGGCGACGGCTCCAGCTCGTACTTGTCGAACGGCAGGTGGTCGACGACCATCGGCTCGCACGGCGCGCACGCGAAGCGCACGACCGGGTGCGCGAGCCGAGGCGCCAGCGCCGGGCTGTTCAGGTCGGGCCAGAACGCCTCCGGGATCGGCCAGTGGCCGACCGAGTAGCCCTTCTGCGCCGACTTCTGCACGTAGATAAGACGCTTGACGCTGTGCCACGCCGCCGCGCCGCCTAGCGGCTGCGGCACCGGAGTTGACGGACGCGACGTCGCCTTCTCGGCGGACGGGACGGGCAGCGCTAGGTGGCGCTGCTCGTCGATGTTGTTCTCGAGCTTCGGTGCGGCCACCGCCGTCGCCGCCGCGGCGTTCACGTCCGTGTTCTCCTTGTCGACGCAGTTCTCGAAGTTCGTGATCTCGCCGCCGTCGCCCGGCGACGCGCGCGCGCCGTTGCCGTCGACGACGGGCGAGTTGCTGCCGGAGCGAGCGGCCACCGCCGCGTCGGCGGGCTTTGCCGCGCCGCCATTGCTCACGTCGACCGGCGGCGGCTCGGGCCCGATCTTCAGGAAGTGTATGACGACGCCCGGCTGCACTTTCTGCACGAGCGACTCGATGCACTGGTTGAGCTGCCGCTGCGAGGCGACGCAGTACGAGCGGCCGCCCGTTACGTCGCACATGGCGTCGATCGGCGACGTGTCGGCGGGCAGCATGCCGGACGTGGCGGCTTCCTGCGGCGCATGCCCGGGCAGCCGCAGGCAGATCGCGAACAGCCGCTGGTCCCAGCGGAACGGCTCCTTCGTGAGCTCGCTGCCGGGCAGCGGCGACTGCGCCGGTATCGTCAGCTCATCGACGACGCCCGCCGGCGACGTCATGCGCTGCGCGTCCGTGATCGCGACGAGCACGCACGGCTCGAGGTAGTACGGGCAGCGGCCCTGGCCGTACGTGTCCACCATGCTCGTCATGCGGTTGACGTTGAGCAGGTCGAAGGCGCGGCGGAGCGCTTCGCCCGTGCGCGTCAGGCCGCGCGCGCGCAGGTTGCGCAGCTCGGCCGTGAACGTCGTGTGGCTCTCGCGCCAGCCCGACTTGACGTGGTGCGGCGCGTCCTCGAACGTGAGCAGCATGTAGCGGTCGCCGCGGCTGTTCGGGTCGCGCTGGCGCACGCGCATGAACGTCTCGACGGCGCCCTTGGCAACGTCGAGCAGCGTCGTGCCGAGGTACGTGCGCTGGTTCATCGACGCGCTCGTGTCGACGAGAAACAGGATGATCGTCATGGCGCGTCACCCCGTCGTCAGCCTGCGGGAACATAGAAAAGAAGAGACAATGAGCGAGTGTCGGCCTGCGGTAAGACAGAAAAGAAGAGACAATGAGCGAGTGTCGGCCTGCGGTAAGACAGAAAAGAAGAGACAATGAGCGAGTGTCGGCCTGTGGGAAGACAGAATAGAAGAGACAATGAGCGAGTGTCGGCCTGTGGTAAGACAGAAAACAAGAGACAATGAGCGAGTGTCGGCCTGCGGTAAGACAGAAAAGAAGAGACAATGAGCGAGTGTCGGCCTGCGGGAACATAGAAAAGAAGAGACAATGAGCAAGTGTCGGCCTGCGGTAAGACAGAAAAGAAGAGACAATGAGCGAGTGTCGGCCTGTAAGAAGACAGAAGAGACAATGAGCGAGTGTCGGTCTGTAAGAAGACAGAAGAGACAATGAGCGAGTGTCGGCCTGTGAGAAGACAGAAGAGACAATGAGCGAGTGTTGGCCTGTAAGAAGACAGAAGAGACAATGAGCGAGTGTTGGCCTGTAAGAAGACAGAAGAGACAATGAGCGAGTGACCCCCGGGGTAGACTAGAGAGGTCTGCTATGGGCAGGAGCAACACAAGCAAAAAGGTGACAGACTTAGGCATAGGTAAGACTGAAACGCAACACTCAGCTGTGTGAGACATGTAAAATGCACAAGGAAGACGGACGAGACGGACTTGCAGGTAGAAATGAGACAGTTGCTAGGTGTGAGACAGTATTTATGGAGCCGTATGTTGCGCCTGGTCGAACACCGTTCGTTAAGACGACATCTATGCTGTTCTTAAGCCAATAAATATCAGAGTGGCACTTGCCAGCTAGCCACCTGACACCTGGTGGATGAAACCATGAAAAACTGTCTATCTGCTATTTAAATCCATGTAAAATTGCAGTGGCTTGATCATAACCAACTCCAGTATTTTAAGCAATGTGAGATAGAAAAGTATTAAAAGGCGGGAGAATTTATAGCCTATTGGCTACATACACTGTTAAATGTGTGGAATAATATGCCCAAAAAATTTACTGCGTGTTATCAAATATTATAAAATTAAAAGTACAACTTGTATTAACATGATGTACAATTTTCAGCACTTTATGGAAATAAATTGCATCACACACAACTGTTTCCTGTTATAAAACCTCATGTTCGACACATCATCATAACACGTGAAAATTGTACATTGATAACGTCACTATAACGGCTGCGTCGGTGTGGTTACTCGATCGTTGACTGCCACTGGCACTGCATTGTCATTATGATTATTATTATAACTTCTAAGTTCTAATTTAACTGTTCCACTGACACAATTTTCAATTGACAATCGCTCATAGTCCTGGAACATAATTAAGTCCACAGACAAACGTTCAAGATAAGACGATATAGTAATCGCTAGCTAGCATTATACATTACATAAACAGGCAGAGTCCGTACACTACTCGGCCAGCATGCATGTTCACTCAATGACCCATGACCTTTGACCCAGCTCTATATACACTGAGCAAATATGGCTGCCAAGAAATTGATCGAAACGACAAAGAAAATCCTGCACATTCGCAACCCATTTTCTACACTTATGTGTACCTAATCTACAACGATATTTACGAATATGAGAAGCTTGAACCTTCAACCATCTGAACGTGTCACGTATATTGGAGAATGCGCTATGATACTCGAGTTAAATCGAAAATAAAGATCCAGTAGTCTTTGATATCGATGCAACCGCCTGCCAGAAAGACAGTGACAAAAGTAAATCTTGTGCGCCACCTCGCGGAATTAGTATGAACTTGCCATAGTAACAGCGCCATATTTCATTGCTGATACACAAGCTAGTGACGTTTTTCTGCTACATATTCAGCATCACGGCGTTGTTTGGTTACACGATTCCAGTATTAATTCAAGGCTATTAATTAAAGAGGCCATAATGGTAGGTGACAGTGTGTAGCTAAATAGAGGAGATGTCATGAAACTAATGATCATATTACTAGTACTACATGATACATCACTGTGTCAGTACATCATACATGTATTTCATAAAAAGTGCTACTGCTAGTAAGGTGGAGTGGATCTGGCATTCAGCTGTCACTCTCAGCGATGCCAATGGCAACGCCACGATATTTTCGCATAGCGATAGCGTCGTTGAACTATAGAGTATAGTATTGTATATATGTTAGTTGTGCCTATCACTATCAGTGTCGTGTTAATGTTATAATTTATTGCAGCTATTGAATATGTGCCATGACCCAAGGTCAAGGATATTATAAGACTAAGACTCAGAGCTTTCCACATTTGCACATGCCACATGTCGCAGATTGCGAAAATGAATTGTGATTAGCGCTTAATATCCATATGAACCGAATATGTTACATGTATATTATATACTTGCTTGCTATATTCCCGTTTGTCTCGCAATGGGTGGTCAACAAGAAAATTGGAGAACACGACGTTTTGTGTGCTACTGCAACACTTCGTCAGGTGATGCGGCGACGTTGCAAGTGGGGGTATATATACCCCCAAGGGGTAGAAATTAACTTTTGAACAAGGGAGTCCAACGGACACCCTACCCTCAAAAAGAGGGAGTCCGCAGCAAAATGAGGGAGTCCGCAGTCTGAAGTTCGAAACTAAAGCATAACAACAATAACGCATGTTGTGCATTACGCATAATGCATAAATAACGCATAATGTCATTAATGTGCTTATTTTGAAGATTCGTGCGATGCACGTCTGCCAAATTTTCTTTGGACATTTGCTGTAAAAATACGGTTATTCCAGGAGGCTGTGCTCTGGAACGAACTATAGTTAGCATAGCAGAATTTTCAGGGAGTCACACGGTCTCCTGCATATGTCAAATCAGGGAGTCCGGCAGTAAATCAGGGAGTATTTGACTCCGGACTCGCGTTAATTTTGCACCCTGTATATACACATATATAATCATATTTCATGTTCACATTCTTACGCTGCTTCGGTTACTTCCATTTTTTCTGCCCACGTGTGATTTATACGTCGAACACGCACATGGAAACGAATTGTGCAATCGCGTGCGCATGCGCGTGGGCAAACCGCTCTTGCGAATCAAGACTAGAACGTGCGCGCTTCTTTGTGCTTTCGCAAAGGACGGCAGCTTTGCGGCGTGTCTCGGTGAACGCGCATGTTTATGAGTTGCATGAGGATGGCGCGCATGGTAACTCAACATAGAACTCGGAACGTCGTCGCAGGAAATGGAGGAGTGCAATGATTGCGGTGTTAGCACTCATCTGCGTGTGGTACGTGCGTCCGTGTTCTGTGTCCGTACGTCAGTGTTCCGTGTCCGTATGTCAGTGTTGCGTGTTCCGTGTCCATACGTCAGTGTTCCGTGTCCGTACGTCAGTGTTCCATGTCCATACGTCTGTGTCTGTACGTCCGTGTTACGTGTCCGTACGTCCGTGTTCCGTGTCCATACGTCCATTTTCTGTGTCCGTACGTACGTGTCTGTGTCCGTACTTCCATTTTCTGTGTCCGTACGTACGTGTCTGTGTCTGTACTTCCATTTTATGTGTCTGTACGTCCGTGCCTGTGTCCATACGTACGTGTCTGTGTCAGTACGTACGTGTCTGTGTCCGTACGTCCGTGTTTCGTGTCCGTACGTCCGTGTCTGTGTCCGTACGTCCGTGTCTGTGTCCATACGTACGTGTCTGTGTCCGTACGTTCGTGTTCCGTGTACGTACGTTTATTTTCTGTGTCCGTACGTCCGTGTCTGTGTCCGTACGTCCATTTTCGGTGTCCGTACGTCCGTGTCTGTGTCCATACGTCCAACAATCTATACAATTATGCAATTTGTTTAGGCCTATATTTTGTTATGTGTAAATTTCATTCCAATATTATATTATATGGAGCCTCGGACCGTATGTTTTAGTTTGTTTCAAGTGCCTGTGGAGCCTCGCACAATCTCGCGATTTTAAGAATGCGCAGCGCAATCTTGAGATTGCGCGGATCGGAAGATTGCACGTAACACATATATATTTCTTTAGTGTCGGTCATCCCATATTGGAATTAGCTTCCTTCCACTTTGGTTAATTGCAAAATTAAAGCTTTTTCTACGGCGATATTCAGTGTTGATCTGTCTATTTGATCAACTTTGGCTCACTCTGTTTTCGATATGGTCCTTGTACTTCGCAGACTAATTGTTATGAGGGTATTTAGAACTATGTCGTCGAAGCAACTGACACTTGTCAGGGTTTAATTCCATCTATCAGTCCATTTCTGATCGTCGGAGCCCGGAGGTTGGCTATAGGTCTGTTTGAAGTCACTCAACATCCTTGTCCAAGTTTATTATTCTGCATAGGATGTTATCGTATGCAAAAAAGCTTACTAGCTGTAGTCTGGAGAGTCAACTCTTAAGACATGAGAGCAAATCATTGATTTAGACAAGAAGCATGTGAGAGGGCTCATGGTGCATGGTTGTTCCTTCCGGAAGGGCGGAAGTGACAATTAACTGCCGACGTAGATATTACATCTCAATGATGACTTGTTGGGATATGCCAGCACAGAAATCTTAGGTGCAATGTACCTTAGATGCTAAATGTTCATGGGGGACCAGATCAGAGGCCTGGCTGAAGTTGGGTAGGAATCTATTTACTGTCTGCTAGATCCTGTAGTCACAGTAGTGTGATTCTATTAGCTGTTGTTGTATGTTACATGTTACATGTGCATGCAATATGTACCAACTAAATTGTCACTGTTGTATCATTTTCCATATAGATTTTAATTTGGTAAAGAAATGTTATGAAATAGGCAGTGCTGAGAATAATTGGTTGTATATAAACAAACATAAATGCAGTTCTTCAACACAGAAGTAGGTTATATTAATGAGATCTCTCCATTCTGAGCAGTAGGTTTCCATAGCAAGGTTACGACTATTTTCCAATCTTTTAGTTGTTTACCCTTAACAGATTTCCGATCCACACCAGTGGTTCACAATGTGGGCAGGACTACCCCACTGGGAGTAGTGGCAGTACTTATAATTAGGGTGTGTGTATGTGTATGGGAGGGGGCCGGTAAAAAGCAAAAGGTGGGTGTGTACAAAGTAGGATTGGGGAGGGACACATCGTGAGTGAGTTTATGGAGACGAGGGAGCGGTGGCCCAAAGAAGTTTGGGAATCACTGCTCCCCAGTATATCCACGAGTTAACATAGATAACCGAGCGTCGTGTTTGTGCACGTATATGTTGAGTTCTTCTGTGGTATTCCTGGCTGCGAGGACAGTAACTGCCACAGTCGGCCGAGTTTTTATTCGGAGCACAGGCACTTGGAACGTCTCAATAAAAAAAATTAATGGTAAATAAACACGAAATGTACCAAAGTCTTAATGTTTCTCTACTCTAATTCGCCTATAATCACCTGTAAATGGCGGTCAAATGCTTATCTGCAACACACAAGTACACCGCACGCCCGCCCTGTGCTGCGTGCACAAACACATGGTTCGCACAGTCCTTGAAAAGTCCTTGAAAAGTCCTTAAAAAAATTTTCAGTTCTCCTGTATGAACCATGAAACAACATGAATAAGAGAGCTTTTTTTTATTGAGACGTTCCAAGTGCCTGTGGTTCGGAGCGCGCTTCTCTGTATACTACGTGACGTACATAGCTGTGGCGGCCGATCGTTGTGTTTGCACTCTGACTGCACTGCCGCGCTGACGTCCCGCACTGCATGACCGTTTTGTCTGTGCGTAAATATTGCAGGTTGATCCCCGAGTGGCAGGAAGAGCGTGGCACTGTGATTTCGGGCTAAGCGCGAAGTCAAGGTCGTAAAACATGAACGTGGAGTAAGTACAGCCGAGACCCCCCACCCCCGCTCTTCCCTTCCCCGTGCGCGATGAGTTCTGTTCAGGAAAACTTTGTACACTCGCTGACGTAATTTCATGTGAAATCATGGATCGTGAGGATAGGAATGGTTTTTAACTTGTTGCTCACCTAGAGTGCACGTTTTAATGCACGCACACACAGCAATTTGGGGCTCACCTTGTATTACACATGTACACTGTATGAAAAACTATGAACTAGCCTCACGAAATACGTTCACGAGTGTCCACTGTCCGTCCGTTGATTGCGCGGTAATGTGATGCGGCATGACAGAATGGGCGGGATAGAAGAGATAAGAATGGCTAACGCTCTATTAGGAGTGTTCCCAACTTTGATATCATTAATGGTTAATGATTAATGATTGATAATCCTAACCCTTACCCTAACCCTAACCCTAACCTAAATGACATTAAACCACAAACTAATATATGACCATGACCATATATATGTTATTATGACCATTAATGACATTAAAGTTGGGAACACTCCTAATGGAGTATCACCCATAAGAATGGAACGGAACGGAATGAAACGTTATGTGATGTAATGTGATGTTTTGTGTTGTGACGTGCTGTAATGTAACGTAATGTGTCGTGACTTGAAATGTATCACATTGCGTTGCACCGCAGTGCTGCAGCAGTGCAGGGCAATGTGTAATACAATGTAACGTAACCGGTGTGTAGCACCGCGCGACTGGTGTCCCTTTTATAATATCTGTATAAAGGGACTCTACGCGCGACCAGCTGGAGCCCGCACGCTGCATGCGCTCCTGTTGCCGGGTTCGCACACGCGTGCGCGTCGCAGCCCTGCCGAACTCACCGCTTCCCCCGTCGTTGTTTCAGTGGTGTCATTAGGATTGAGACGCGCGCCGTTAACGGAAAGCCTCGCATCTTCATCGTCCACGGCGAACATGGTGAGTCGCCGTCTCCCGCGCAGCGCAGCCGGAAGCCATCCGGAAGTTGCCTGCTCGCGAGCGCTATCGTTTGTGTGTGTGTGTGTGTGTGTGTGTGTGTGCGTGCGTGCGTGCGTGCGTGCGTGCGTGCGTGCGTGCGTGCGTGCGTGCGTGCGTGCGTGCGTGCGTG